TAAATTATTTGTAGTTTGATCAGATTTTAATTTATAAACATTTTAATGGATATATATATAAATATATATATATATAGTACTTTTCGTAATAAAGTTAAATAAAATGTGTTACTTAGATATCTAAACAATTTATAAATTCAAATGTTTAAACTAATTGATAAATAATTTATAAATCTCTATTTTATTTAAATATGTGATTTTATTTAAAATAATTTTAAATATAAAAAATTTATTTAGAAAATCGTATCGATTTCTACCAGTCCAACCAACTGGTGTTGAAGGATTCAAGAGCAAATAATTTATTCAAGCGAATTAGACTGGTTAAACCGGTTCTCGGTTCATCCGGCCGGACTGTGTCCAACCGGTTTAATTTAAAAACAATGAATAAATCAGGATTAATGTTATCTATATATTTAATTTATAATACAATCATAATATTGTTTTTCCGTGCATCGCACGGGCCACACATTAGTAAATTAAACATACATAAATAGAAAACATATACTAGGAACTAAATAATAAACGAATAAATGAGAAAAAAATCTCTTTAAATTGCTTTGTTTTTGCATAATAAAGAAATCATCAAAATAACATCAAGAAATTAGGATTAAGTTAACAAAATAGTATGTTATAATTTATTACTATATAATATAGTTAAGAAAAACTATTCAAACAATTCGAAAAAAATTAATTCGTTTTCCTGCTTCATAATAGTCATTTTCCCGCTTATATATTTTGTAAAATTTTTTTGAAATCCGATTTTTATGTTTTTTGTGCGGATTCCACTCTTGAAAATGGCCTTTTCTGTTGATTTTTTAGTCCGTCTTATGCTTTTGTTTGGTAAGTGTATATTAAACCGTTTCTAAGCTTGATTAATATAGTTATTTATCTTTTGATATAATATTATTTATCGCTACATGTTAAAATTTTCAATTATGATACTTGTGTATAATAAGTCACTTCATTTTCAATTTTTTATCTTGCAAATATATAGGTAATCAGCACTTCTTTTGTTGCAATATTAATATATATAGATTTTTATTTTTGTTTTTTGTATGTAAAATATAATTCTTGATTTCAATCATTCATCAAAATAATAATTATGAATATTTTTTAATTTTATCAATATTACAATAAAAATTAATGATGTAATCCATGGAGATTTCATGCTATATATATATATATAGTTGTTGTCAAGATTCAATAAATTTTATTCAGCAAGCAATTAAAAATAATATGAGTTCATTTAATAAAAATAAGTATTCATTTAATAAAAATTTGTTCACCATTTAATAAATATATGTAACTTTCAGTTACACAATTTATTTTGTCAGCTCCCATTTTAGATGGTGCCCATTTTTGTAACGTCTTTTTATGTCCTGAAATACAAAAATTTTATGTTTTTATTTTCATACTATATTTTTTTTTGGTATAATATAAACACATATTTCACAACTAATAAAGATGTGAATAAAATTGTGTGTATTAACTTTTTCTAATCTTTTGAATTTTGATGTGAATAAAATCTGATTTTAGTTTTTTTTTTTTAACCAAAATTAGTTCAAATCCAACCAAATAGGCAATGACCAATCAAATCCGATTTTACTTCCTTTTTTTTTGCCAATCAATCTGATTTTTTTTGTTGTTTCAATTTTTTTTGGATTTATATATTTATTTTATTAATATGTTTGAAAGAGAATCAACAAATGTTTATCATAGATTTTATTTTAAAAATAAATTTGAATTATCATACCATTTACTTTAAAAAAGACAAAAATTATGAAAAATCGCGCAGCTCTCCTCTTGAACCCTAACCCCCAAATCGCGCAGCTCTCCTCTTGATTTCCGGCGCTACCTTCCTTGGTGACGATTAGTCACCGGCCAGTGGTCATCTTTGACCTCTCGGCCTGGCCCTTGGTTCGTGAATCTCTAGGGTCCCTGCAGGGGTCGCGATTGGTGGCCTTTCCTCTGTCGCCGACGAGTATGTGTCGGGTGGTGGTGCTTCTCCGGTCGTCGGTTGTCTTCAATCGGATGTTAGTGGCCCATGTTCTTCTTCTTCTTCTTCTTGCTAGTTTGTCAGAGGTCTCCCGGATCGGTCTCGCAGTTGTCGGCGGGGCTTCCGGTGGGTTCGGGCTATGGTCGTTGGTGATTTGCAGTGGAGCTGGGAGGCGTGTGAGCTGGGGAATTGGGCGGGACCCTGGTTGCTATGGCTGTTCCGGTTGTGGCGGCAGGGGAGAGGGTTATTTCCTCTTGCTCAACCCCCGTTTGCCTAGTGGTGTTAGGCGGCGGGAGCGGTTCTTTCGACCTCATCTAGTGGTGTTAGAGGAGTTCGGAGGGAATCAGAGTGGGGTGGATTTTGGCTCTCTCGGTACTTGATGGGTCTATTCCGGGACTGTTTCGTAGTTAGGGTTCTGCTACTGTATAGGCTTAATTGCAGTTTCGGTAGTAGGTTCTTGGCTTGGATTGGTCTTGTGTAGATCGTTCTCTGCTGGTTCGGGCTAGCTCGTTCGCTGGGGAAGGGTGGTTCGATTTATTTTCGCTTTTGTGTGTTTTGTTTCTTATGTTCTTGTTTATGTGTCTGTATTTGTGTTGTGAGTGTCTTGTGTTTTTGGTATGGGTCGTTGGCCCCAGTGAGCCGAGTGTCAAACTTTATTACCCTGTGGGGGTCAGACACTTGGGTATTACCCTGTGGGGGTCTTTGTGTTGTGTTGTTGTTTTTTTGTGTTTTTTAGTGTTGTTGAGCATTACCCCGTTGGGGTCGGTTCTAGGCGGTCTTTTGACCTGTCCTCCCAGTTTTCTCAGATGTTAGCTGTTTATATTCAGCTGTTGGCTGCTTATATTCGGTTGGTAGCTGTATCTTTGCACATTTGTACTCTTTTATAATATATCTCTCGTTTCGGCCAAAAAAAAAAATACCATTTACTTTATATGAAATTCGAAATTACATATTTTAATATATTAATAAACGGTTATTATTTATTTTTTTCTTATGTGATATAATCGAAATTCGATATTAAATTTTTAAATTCAAACATTTTAAAAAAAAAAGATCTTAAACAAATTTTTTTGGGTAAATTTCATTTTATCTTGATTTTCATATAATCAGGTTCCTAACATATTAATTAATATTATATTTTTTTTTTATCTACATTATCTTACCGATTTTTTTATGATACAATTAATATAATATCTTAACTAATTAATCATTTATCTAACCGGATTTATCTGTCTAACAAACTTTCCAATTTTTTTAAATTAAAATGGTATGATTATTTTTGTGGAGATACTTATCAATATATTAAACATTTAGAAACTTTTTTCTTTTACTTTATTTGAAATTCTGAGTTATATTTTTAAATATTATTATTTATTATTTACATGTAAATATTTATTATTTATAATCTAAATGATAAATATTATTGATTTATCAACTAAATAAATGTTTATTACTTATTCTTTTTCCTTACATGATATAATCTGAATTTGGTTATTAGATTTTTAAATTCAAACATTTAAAGGAAAAGATCACAATCAGATTTTTGGGTAAATTTTATTTGATCTTGATTTTCATACAATCACATTCCTAACAAATTAATTAATATTATATTTCTTATCTACATTGTCTAACTGATTTTTTATGATATAATTAATATATTGTCGTAACTAATTAATCATTTATCTAACCAGAATTATCTCTCTAACAAACTTGCCATTTTTTTTGAAATTAAAATGGTATGATTATTTTTACGGAGATACTTACCAATATATTAAACATTTAGAAACTTTTTTTAAAAAATGAGTTATCTCTCCTTTTAGTTTATTTGAAATTCTAAGTTTATTTTTAAAATATATTATTGTTTATTTTTTCTTACTCGTAAATGCTTATTATTTATTATCTAAGTGATAAATATTATTGATTTATCTCTTTAATAAATGTTTATTATTTATTTTTTCCTTACGTGATATAATCTAAATTGGGTTATTAGATTTTTAAATTCAAACATTTAATAGAAAAGATCACAAGCAGATTTTTTGGGTATATTTCATTTTATCTTAACTTCCATATAATCACATTCCTAACAAACTAATTAATATAATTACAATTATCTAACTAAAATTATTAAAATATAATTAATATAATATTTAACAAATTAATCTTTTGTCTAACCAAATTTATCTTATTAACAAACTTGCCACATTTTGCCACATTTTTTTAAATTAAAATAGTAAGATTATTCTTACGGGTATACTTACCAGAATATTAAACACTTTAAAAACTTTATGAAAACAAATTTGAATTATTTCGTTTTCAACTCTACTTGAAATTCAAAAATTAAAATTTTAAACATATTCATAAATATTATTATTTATTTTTTCCTTATGTGATATAATCTAAATTTGGTTATTAGATTTTTAAATTCACACATTTAAAGGAAAAGACCACGTACATATTTTTTGGTTACAAATCCTAACAAACTAATTAGTATAATATTTTTTACCCACATTTATATACTCGAATTTCTTAAAATATAATTAATATAATATTTTAACTATCTAATCATTTGTATAACTTGATTTAACTCATTAACAAACTTGCCAAATTTTTTTGAAATTAAAAAAATTTGGATGATTTTTATTTGTAAGATAATAAAAAATAGCTCTACTTTAAAGTCTGGATTCTTTCCATTATTTTTTGTACGTTAACAATCATATATTGGATAATTGATTTAAAAAAAAAATCAAAACCGTAAGGTTTAATAATATTTCTTAAATAAAAATATTGTACAAAGAGAAGTGTTTAATAATATATACTTTTCGTTATTTGTATTTATTTTATTTTCATAATAGACGAGATGTGAAAAATATAAATAGTTATATTTACAATAAAGTCTAAAAAAAAGTTTAAAATATGAGTTTCTCCGTGCATCGTACGGGATATACGATAGCTAGTTTAATTTGAAATCATGTACAAAATTGAGATATATACTGGCAACATGAAACTCGCATTCCTGATGGCTACTTTATGAAACAACTGTACAAAATTGAACCACACTGTACCGGAGGTGATCCAGGCGTTCTGTGTTCAAGTTTCCGCTGAAATCCAGAAAGAAATTTCCAATTCTGACATGGCGTCCACTCCTAAGATCAACATTCCTCTGCCACCGGACCCTGGTAATTTCATTTTTTATCTTCGTTAATTCGACATATTTTCTCCGATTTGGTTTCGGATTAATTCTCAAAAGTTAAGATTCTATTCGCTTTTATTTATCTAACAGCTGTATTTGACTTGTTCAAATAAATGATTTACTGAAATTGCTTGACTGATTCTCTAACTGATCAAAGTTTTGGAGAATTGGAAATTTGTTTATTTGTTCCGTGCTATTTTGGCATTCTATTTGATGATAAGGGGATTACATTTTGGTGGTTTAGCATAGTAGGAGGTGATTTTGTGATGTATGGGCTGTGTATTCATATGGAAGCATTAATTCTTATAGGATTTTAGATTTTACCCCAATTCTGCATAGGTTGTGAAGCTCAAGTAATCACATGACTTGTAAGTGATGTAGTGGTGAAATGTTCATCTCTGTCGTCTGAAACTTCTGTTATCTGATAAGTCAAATTGTTTTGGTATAAGAATGGCAGAATAAGTTAGGACTTTGTTTAGTTTTTTGACTGCCTCTTTTTTGGCTTTTTAGCTTTTATTCATGGTTGTATATTAGTACAAGAGTCAGGAATGAGGAACCATTTACCATATTGTCTTTTGGAGGTGGTTGAATAATGTTTTTGACATCAACTGCTATGCCTGCCTTTTGAGATGTATCAGAACAGGATTCTAAGAATGCAGTCGTTTTGGTTTATGTCATGAAAGGTCACTTAATCTTATGTTTGCAGGTGAAAAACCCCTGGGAAATGAAGCATGTTTGTCTACAGTGCCAATCCATGTTGTAACCCATGCATCTCAACTTCCTGCAGAATTTCTGCAGCCTTCACATGAGAGGCAGCTGGTCATTGGCTTTGATTGTGAGGGGGTTGATCTCTGTCGAGACGGGACTCTTTGTATTATTCAGGTTCCTTTTGTTTTTAGTTATTAATTTATATATTTTGGAGAAAATAAAAGACTATTCTCTAGATATCAAGAAAGCCTCAATATTATTGTGTTTTGTCAAACTCTATAGTGCATTGAGGTAGAGGTAGATACGATTAAGAGACTTCATGAAGCCATTCACTTGAAATCAGTGTCTACTGAATGTGTAGAGCTGATCACAGTACTTTTCTGATCGTGTGCAGCATTTTTATTTTTATTTTTTACTTTTTTCCTGGTTGCCTCTGCAATTTATCGAAAGAATTTAGAAAGATGGAAAAGGAAAAGGTTTTTAGTTAATGGTAGTATCATTCTGTCTTTGATTGCTAATGCATATAGTTACCCTGTAGTATTCTCCCTAGGCTTAAACCAACGCCAGTTTTGCATTTGGGTTGTGGAGTAGGTGCAGTATGACTGTTTGACTAGTCAGTCTTTATTTTAATCAGAAACAGAATTTCAGCATTCTGTGCTGGTTCATATAGATGGCATAAAGTTGATCGCCGGCTGGATGCAAAGTACTAAATGCATTTAAATATATTTTGGTTAGACAGAAGCTATTCTTAATGTTATTACCTTGCAAAGTTCGTAGATGCAAGTGAGATTTATGTACTTATAAGTGATGTACATTTGTGCTGCAGCTTGCCTTTCCAGATGCGATATATCTGGTTGATGCCATTGAGGGTGGAGATACACTTGTGAAAGCCTGTAAGCCAGCACTTGAATCAAGTTACATCACTAAAGTTATTCATGACTGCAAAAGGGATAGTGAGGTCTCTAGCTAATAGTTCTCTCTTACGACACTCATGATGTCTGGAATATATTCAAACTTTATCGCTTGTTTATATGTTGCAGGCATTGTACTTTCAATTTGGCATTAAGTTGCATAATGTTGTGGACACCCAGGTTCGTATTTCTTTTTGAAGTTGTGTGTATAAAGTTATTTTAAAATATGAATATAGGTTGGGAAAAACACACTTGCTTTTATCCTTGGTCTTCTATTGAACTAGTGCTGCTCCTGGCATGCTTTTGGTCTAATAAACGAGATAATGTAAAAATCTTCTTTGCATGAAGTTTGAGAGAATTTGTAAAAATAGTAGAGGGGCTCATTTTGTGCCAGAAACTCCTGGTGTATTTTTTCAGTTTTAACTTTTTGGTGATTGGTGGGTTTCTAGCCCTTGATTGAAAATGTTAAACCTTGTGGCTTTTGGGAGGCGATCCCTCATTAAAGTTAGATGAGCACTCTCTATATACGAATGTAAATATGCCTGCCACGACGGGCAGTCGGGCACAGAGTTATTATATTTGGAGAATTTTGTTGCATGAAAGTGTTATTCTATTGCCATTATTGTTTCTCCCCTTGTGAGTATTTTCCTTTTGACTATTTAATTGCGTATAACGCTCCAACTTTGTTTTGTCTTTATATTTTTGTTTTGTTTATTATTTATTTATTGGTTCTGGCAATGTCTATAAGCAGATTGCTTATTCTCTGATCAAGGAGCAAGAGGGACATAAAAGAGTTCCAGATGACTACATATCATTTGTTGGACTGCTTGCTGACCCTCAATTTGGTGGTATGTTTGTTTTTCCTATGTTTCTCTTTATTTTGTTTTTCAAAAGACAGACTTCCACCATAGGGTTAGTCTGCAATTGCTTGGTGAAAATGTCTGTCATGGACAAGGGATGTAGAAATGATGGTCAGAGCATGTGGTGCTCTTTCTAGCCAAATTGGCAAACTTTAAGCTGTTATAATATTGCAAGGGTAAAGGGGAAAAATGAAAAGGATAAAGGGGAGAAACGAAAGAAATCATCAATGGCTTGCATAAAATCAGTAACAACTATCAGAATTTCACCTTTATAGTATTGTTTTCACCTTTACCCGCTCAAAGATTCTCTGAAGTGTTGATACATCTGTATGCACAATTGTCTCGTATGAATTCGTAAAAGACATACATATCCTTAGCTGTTTTAGAAACTTTTGTTGCTGAAACTATGTGAATCGTCAACTTTTTAACTTATTAATCTTGCGTTTTGTGTATCCGTGCATGTTTATTACTAATCAGTTCATTGTTTGTCAATGGTATAATCTAAGTATTAGAGTTTATGCTTTGTGAGGAAAGCCTGCTCTTTATGTTTCTTGACTAGCAAGATCTTTTGCAGGCATTTCATATGTTGAGAAGGAAGAAGTCCGCATCCGCCTGAGGCAGGTTAGTTTTGATTTTTTCTTACATCTTCTCAAAGTGTCATAGTTATGCGACTAAATGTTATTGTGTGCATAGTTAGTTCTGACATAATTTGAATGGCTTAAATCTCAAGCTATAGATTTATGGCATAAATTGCTTAAGTTTATCTGGCCTTTTCTCCAAACAACTGCACTTCCTTTTTTCATCCGTGACTATAGTAATGGTTGTCTTCTTGGTGCAGGCCTGATTTTATTTTATTTTAAAATACTTTTGCAGGATCCCAACTTCTGGACCTATAGGCCATTGTCTGAACTAATGGTCCGTGCAGCTGCAGATGATGTCCGTTTTCTTCTGTTTATTTATCATAAGATGGTGGAGAAACTAAATGAGAGATCCTTATGGTATCTTGCTGTTCGTGGTGCACTTTATTGTCGTTGTTTTTGTACCAATGACAGTAATTTTGCAGATTGGCCTGCACTACCTCCAGTTCCAGGTATTTATTCTCTTACTATCATACAAGTTTAAATTTTCTTTAATATTTTAATGGCTAAAGGCCTGTGCATTATCAATCAGATAATTACATAAACGGAATATACAGCATGTCAATGTTACTGTAAACTTTCCAAAGAAACTGAAATATGTTTATCAATGTGTTTGTCATTTCCTTAGTTTGTTGATGTAGAAATAGCTACTTTGCTGCAATGCAAGCGATGGATCGTGGATTTGTATTGCTTTCATCCTGTAAAATTTATGTTTCACTTTTTCATACTACCATAATACACTTGTATTCTGATTCGTATTTGTTTAATCCTGCAGAAAATCTGATTGCTGATGACAATGCCCCAGAGGAAGAAAACCTGTATGTCCTCGATATTCCACATGGCAAAATGGGATGTGTTATTGGAAAACGAGGAGCTAATATCTTGTCCGTAAAGGAATCGTGCAGGTATGCCCTATTCGTATGGTTATTCTCTCACCCATAAATGATATTTCCAATTTGAAAAGTGAAAACTGTAACATCATCTACAAAAAACTGATAGTTTCACAAGATGTATATGCTTTGTTTCTTTGACCTTATGATTGATTTCTTCCCATCTCACTCAACCATGAATTTTATTTTGCAGTGCTGAAATATTTTTCGGAGGTGACAAGGGTCCCCCTGACAAGGTTAGATTTCATTTACTGAATCAATGAATTTGAATAAAAAAGTATTGTAAGCTTTTACGTTGTATTGTATTTTTTTTTTTTAAAGATACTTAACTATTTATTACTCCTTTTAGGCGTGTCTATGTAGTATTGCGGTTTATCTACCATAGAAGTTTGCTGTTATGGTACTGAACAATTTTGCAAATTTGTTGTTTGCAGGTCTTCATTATTGGCCCCGTTAAGCAAGTTAGAAAAGCCGCAGCCATGCTAAGGGGCAGAATGCTGCAAATTTACTAGAACATGTCATGTAAATAATGGTCCACAGTTAAGATCTTAATGTTTACTCGCCAGAAGCGCCAAATCAAGTTCCCATCTTTGATGTATACTGGAAAAGCTTATGTATCAAATATTTAGACCGAAGTTCCCATCTTTGATGTATACTGGAAAAGCTGCTGTATCACATATTTAGACCGGTTTGACATAAACCTAGGAATTCTCTCTTCCTTTGACAAACACAGGCTGAAGGTATGATTAAAGGCAGACCAACATTGCTGATAAAACTGTCTTGTAGGCATGTTGTTCTTATATAGCTGCATGGATGGACAAGTTTGAAAACAAGGGTTGTGTTGTGAAGTTGCCATTATAAAGTGTAACACCCCAACGAATTATTATTATTATTATTATTAGAACTACTAGTAGCAGATTTTTTTTTTTTTTTTATTTAATTTCAACAAGTATCGCTTATTAGGCTCGAGTCTTTCAAAATCATAATCAATATTTTAACATGTCAAGTAGAGGCCCAATTACTAAGGAACGATTGGTATCGAATCAAAATCGTTTTCATTGGATCTTGAGTTAAAGTGAGTTATTTTTAATAAAGTCGATTGAGTGGAATTTTAAGTCTGCAATGTGTTTGTTCACACGACTGGTGGTGTAATTTTCCTAGGGGTAAAGTACATCATGTGTCCGGAGCTTCTTCTGATCATCATTTTTTCGTTTGAGACATGGTTGGGGGAGTGGGGGTCAGGAAAGAAGGATTTTATTTTGGAAGGAGATGGTTAAAATGGGAAGGAACTGGGGAGGTGATAGAGGAAGCCTAGAACAGAACTAGATCAGGTTATTCTCTCTTTAGAATATTTTTTAAAAAAAAAATCAAGAATTGTAGGAGGGAATTGTTGCAGTGGAAAAAGGGGAGACTTTCAAATGCAGCTAAAAATATTGAGAGGTGGAAAAAGGAGATAGAGCAGCTGAGCGAGGAAGGTGGAAACAGGGACTGACAGAGGTGGAATTGTTTGAAAAATAATTTGGAATTGGCTTATAAGGAAGAGGAGATTTTTTGGAAAGACAAGTAAGAGTTCAAGTTGAATGAAGGTGATAAAAACCAAGTTTTTTTTACTATGCTACTTTGGATAGGAGAAGGAGAAATGTTATTGACTTTATTCAGAAAGAAGATGGGACAATTAGTGCATATAAAGGGGAAATTGAAGCTGAAATCACAATATACCTCCATAGTCTTTTCAAAACCTCTGAATCAGTGGTAGATGCTGAAGTTCTGGAAGGTATCCCCAAATCTCTCTCTTTTGCTCAAAATCAGTCTTAGTTAGAGTGGTGGATAATGTTGAAATTAAAAATTCTCTCTTTGATCTTAACCCACACAAAGCTCCGAGATTAGATGATGTCTCCAATATTCTTTCAATCATTTTGGTATAGTATTTGCTAAGATGTGTGTCAAGCTGTAAGAAACTTTTTTGAGTCTTGTTGTATGCCTAAGAGCATTAATCATACTCACATTTCTCTTATTCCTAAAATCCATAATCCCAAGAAAGTAGAACACTATAGGCCTATTAATTTGTGTATTGTAATTTATAGAGCTATTTATAAGATCATAGTCCATAGGTTAAAGGTAGTGTTACACAAGTGTACTACTGAAAATCAGTCAGGAAGACAAATTTTGGATGATGTTATTATTGCTCATGAGTGTTTGCATTTTTTAAATAATTATAGATATAGAAAAAAATGTTTTCTCTCCCCTAAATATTATTGGAAAATAAAAGAGTTTTCAATAGATGGGGGCAAGCAAAATCAAGAATTCAAGATTGTTTTTTATGCTTTCCTCGTACTAGAGGTTTGTTAGGTTTTGTGGGGAACATCGTCGATGTGCACATTCAAATCTATTAAAATAAATTCTAACGCATCGAATCTATAGTTAGGATCAGGGCTTACTGTTTAAAATTTTGTCGACTCTGAGACATTTCTGATTTTCGCTGTTGGATATAGTCTGAACTCTGAACCTCAGAGTCTGTTGGATTGCTAGACTGACCTCGGGATTGTCTGACTGCTGTCGGACTGCACCTGAGCTGTTGGAAGTGGTCCAGATTTGCCATGTTTCGCCTGGTGCATGGATGGTTAACCTGGGGTCCATTGGTGCGCTGGCGGCCGAGGGTCGTGCGTTTTGGTGCGCTGGTGACCTAGGTTGTGTTGTCTGGTCACACTGTCATCGAGACTTCTCACGTTGGAGGCACTGGTCGGGCAGTCTGGTGCTGCGGTCGCCAGGACATCGCACGGTCTGTGTGCTGGGACGTGCGCGGGGTTGCTGGAATGCGTATCATGTTGCACGGAACACGCGGGGCGGGTCATGCAAGTGAGTCGCGCACAGCGTGGGCCACACTGTCTATGCGGGCTACTCTGCGGGTCGCACAATCTTCACGTGGCTTGCGATGTTTACCTGCGCGGTTGTGCACGGTCTATGCGCAGGTCACGCGCGGCTGCGGCTGGTGGTGCTGCGCACGCCGGTGGATGCGTCTTCCTCCAATTGTGGTGCTCTCCTAGTTTCGTGGTCGTTCCAGATTCCGCGGGGACATATATATTCGACCAGATGAATATATATATTTGACAGGATGCGAACACAAGACATCGGGATCTTCTGTTGTATGACCTTTACACCTTCTCCGAATTGTCTTGTTGGAGTGACTAAACGGAACTCCCAAAACCTCTCGATTTTCTCTCCTAAGACCTCTTGGTTTTATTCAAATTTTCCCAAAGAGAGAACTCTTAATCTCACATGTATTTTGGCATGTAGAAATAATTATCATGGAGGCTAGGAGACTTGATGTATTTATATAGGTCACAACATATACCCTAAAAAGGTGTTAAATATGGGCTTCCCAAGTAGGAATACAAAACATTGTGTTCACACCTTGTATTCACATATGATGTTCACACATTGTATTCACACCTTATTCCTACTTGAATAATGGAACATTCCACTAGAGTAATATTATCGCACTCTCTATTAGCCTTGAATTACTAATAATTCAACTTCGACTAATTGCTCGATTTACCTCCCTATGCTTAAGATATAACGTCCTTTGATTAATTTAGTTCCTGACAATATAATTATTCAACTTCTTGAATAAAAAATGGTACCACTCAATTCTTTATTATTATGTCGGAAATTAATACACCCATTGGGTTTAACATAATAATTCTTTTTGAGCACATTTCGAAAACGTCATCAACCCAGCAAACCGAGACACGGGGACCGTAAATAATCATAATGGAACATCATGCACTCAATATTATTTACCAATATACAGAGTATGTCGACCTAACAAAATAAGTCTCACTCATAGTAAATCAAATAAATAACTACCGAATACATATGTCCGTTTATTGTTTTACAAGGTTAAAAGAATGCAGCAATTACTAAGGTCTAGATTACTTGGTCAGTATAAAATATCTTATCCTCCTGTAGGTCCATCCAATACATCTAAGATGTACTAGTGTAATTCATCTGTAAAAAATCAACTAATTCCTTAGTCACTACAATCTTTCACGATAGTTACTTCAATTCTATCTGGGTCATGAACAAATATTTATATTTCACAAGGTACCGATAATATGATCTTTCTGTTTGACTCATATCAAACCATATTATCTACAATGTAAAACGAATAAACTATGTTCGCATAAATAAATAACTACAAACATACACTTGACTAAAGACACGAACCTCATTCAAAATGGAATTATGAGTAATACAAAGTCAAGCTTTACAGTATACCCCAACAAGGTTCTCCTGAATGTCGGGTGCGACCTTCGAGAGCGAGTTTCGATCGAGATGGATGGAGGGCTCCGGCTCATTCATTGGGCCGGACGACATTTACAATGGCTCGTGGTCCGACGACGACAAGCACGCTTTGGCGTGAATCGCTACAACAATGCAGATAATTCATTTTTTAGTGTGTATTTGATGTTTATTCATATTTTATGTTTGGTTTATTATCACATTTTCTAGTTCATTTTTCAGTGTTTGTTTGATGTTTATTCACAGTTTATGTTTGGTGTGTGTTTTTCTTTA